TGTGTGAACTGTCCTAACTCTCTGGGGCATAGGGAATTTCTGTCAGAATTGCTCTTGGGGTGTAAAAATGCTAAGGCTTTTATGCAATATACTCATATTCCTTTTTTTCAAATAAAAACGTTCACAAGAGTGTAAAAGATATTGAAATACCAAGAGAGGTGACCTTTTGTGAGCGCATTCATGTTCTCGGGGGAAATAAAGAATGAAGTCATTCACCACCAACTGTAATATTCCTCACTTCCACTGGCCTGATGAAAGGAGTCAACACAGGTAGCTGCAAATTAAAACACAGTTGGAGGAGCTTGCTAAAAATGGATCTCCGCAAAGAGGGGAAAGGAGGTGACAGGTTGCTGTTTATTAAAACTTGCATATGATGGGGCGCCTGGGTGGCTCAGTTGGTTAAGCGACTGCCTTCGGCTCAGGTCATGATCCTGGAGTCCCGGGATCGAGTCCCGCATCGGGCTCCCTGCTCGGCGGGGAGTCTGCTTCTCCCTCTGACCCTTCCCCTCTCATGCTCTCTCTATCTCATTCTCCCTCTCAAATAAATAAATAAATAAATCTTAAAAAAAAAAAAAAAACTTGCATATGAGTATAGCTTCGTCCATCATCTCCTACCCCCATTACTCTGATTGCCAGGACAAGCCCTGGGCATATTTAATGCAATGCTGGGGGATGGCAGGAAGTAGGATTCTATTGCAAAATGAGCACTGTTCCCACATACCCCACATACGGGGAAGCACATGACTCCAATAAGCAGAAAGGGCAAAGGTTATTTCTAAGGATTTATGTGTGAGTGCTCACAAGTCCTGGGATGGCTCATTACAGAGTCACCGCGGAGCCCAATTCTGTAATGGAAGGGGGGACCAGAAGGACCCGTTGCAGACGGGAAGGGAGGTCATGTTACTCGCCAGGGACACAGCTGGTTGGTGGTAGGCCCAGATTAGAACCTCGAGTGTCCATCCTCCACTCCCAGAAAACTCTCACATCTCTTAAAATAACAGAACATAAGGAACTGGGACACGCCATCAGCTGTGCCCCAGAATTCGTTTCTGTAAAATGAAAACTAATATACTCATCAATGTGGTGGGCTGGTCATTCCTCCCCACTGATGGTACGAGTTCGATGGGCAGACAACCCCAATTTAAATTTTCCTAAAAGACGTCGATTTGGGGCTTTTTAATGGATCTTTCTTTTCAAATCCTTTAAAGCCATGGTATTAAAACTGTCTGCTTTCCTGTTCTTTAAAGTGACAAGTATCCGTGTGAAAGTGCCATGACTTTGGAAGGGTCTCACATTAAGCAACCCCTTGTATGAACATGCTCAGGAGAACCTTTCTCGTGGAAAAACTACCTTCCAAGAGCGATCTACAGAATGCCCCCAAACTTGGTGGCATTACACGTAGAACATCCAGAAGCACCCATCCCCAGGGCTGGGGGAGAAGGCAGTGAAGAAAATGGATTCAGTAGCATCACTGGTGTGAAGAGGTCACGGGTCACACAGTTAACAGACAGGGGGCTCTAACAGTTTCACCAACAAAAGCTTTGGCGCCTTGAAAATTACTTCACGGAGGTCTGTGAGCATGTTTTCATATGTAAAGCATTAGGAATTATACTGATATTTCCCTCTTTGGGGAGGGGGGTTTGCTTTTATCTCTAGTTAATTGCTATCGTCATTTCCAGTTTTAGAAAACGCAGAAGAATGATCTTACCTCCATTTGATCTAACCTCTTTTCTTCTTCAGATAATGCATTCACATTCAGTTATTCATCTTGATTTGAACAAAAGGCAAGATTGTCCCCCCTTCTGCCCAGAAACTACCAATGGGAAATTAATATTCAAGATGAACAATGGATTCATCCCATGGCCCGTGGACTTGCTGGGCGCCAGGAGGAGGTCTGTGAATTCTTAGGATTATTTTAGATTTGGTAGCATGAATTGGGAGCTTACAAAGTCATAAAAGCCGCGGTTTTCAAGAGTTAAAGTTTCAGAATTCTCTACTGAACTATGCTTCAACAGGATCTCTTTTAAGTTTTATACGCGCCTATCTGAACCTCTTGAGTTTAAGTGTCGTTTATCCCAAAGCTATATGAAAAAGTCCAGGCTAAATGTCAAGCCTATTGCTATAAATCACATTTCAAACTGGTAATTACTTATTGGTGGAGAGAGGGCTGTTTGAAATGGTGCTGTCTCATTAGAAAGCTATTATGGAACTCTGCAATTCTACCTTAATAAACAGAGTTAAACTTCCAGAATCTACTGCGTGACAGTTATCCCAGACCAAACAACAGCTATTAACATTTCCAAGGATCTCTCTCTCTGTCTCTCTCTCCCCTCTCCTAAAGTTAAAAAAAAAAAAGTGATTCCCCCCCCCCATATTTTTTAGGACTATTTGTGGGGGGAGGGTGTGGATTTCTAAAAAGAGTCTCAACTGAAGTTATTTTAAGTTCCTTGTCTTAAGTAACTCGGTAACTTATCTTGTCCTTTGAACTCAGTAACAAAAAAAAACCTTTTTTTACTGAAAATGAAGTATGATAATGCCAGTCGACATTATCCCAAATGACTGGACAAACAGAAAGAATATGAAAAGGCTCATGTGTTTCTTAGCTGCTTCATTTTCTATTCCATTTTATGTGACAAAGGCTCTGTTTGTATCCAGAGTCACTAACTTGATACAAGTGGATTTCCTTTACATTTCTTAAGAGGAAGAGAACTTCCTGTAAATGATCTCTGCGTGTTTCCATATACTGTCTATTCCCATCAAGACTCAGATTTGGAAAAGAGCCATATTTGAAAAGGAAATTGGTAAGATACCTCCCCCCACAACACACAAAAGATGCACATGAGTGATCCAATCTGTTCTCCCAGTGTTCATTGTAGGTATCTGTCTTAATATTTACTATTGCCTCCCGTTAGCACCAATAGCTTTTATTACATGTTCTAGCTAACATTTAAAATGATGAATAAATAATAGCCCTCCGTCCCTGGGCCAAACCATATTATATCCAACCCTGTAGCCCCATGAGAATCTAGCAAGGCACTCTGCTCTTAGGGGACACTCCAGAAAATGCTGAATGAATGACACAGCTCTTCTTCCCCCACCTCTTGGGTTTCTTTTCTCCGTGGGCGCCTAACATTAATCTGCATAGATAACTACCAACCTGAAACGGCTTATCTTTCAGTCTCACCGTTAAGACCAGCTTACCATTTGCAGGTCAAGAAATGAAATAAGAAAAGAGAATCAAATAAAATTAAGAGTTTCTTCCCTGAGCCCTCAGAAACACCTTGCAGAACTGGCAATGTAGCGAAGTACGTTAGCAAATAATGAAAATGTGATCATAATGAAGCTATGCCAAAGACAGATAAAAACAGGCTCCATGGGATGACGCCTGAAATCATAAAAGAATCTCACAGGTTTGTCGAAGAAATTATGGCCACCTGCCCTCCTATAGCCTAACACCTGAAGAGGGATTAAAAAAAGAGGGGAACCATTCAGTGTGGAATGAAGACATTCAGACCCAAGCATTTGAAACCTGGGATGATCTAAAAACACTCGGCGCAGACATGCGTTTATGTACACATGTGTTTTGAGATTTAGATTTCGACTTAGGTGTTTCAAAATTTACTATCACAAGTTTGAGGAATGTAGCAACCACAGCAGTGATTGACTGAAATGACTGAAGTATAAACTGTACTTGTCACTTTGCAAATCTGGCTTTTCATGAAAGAGAGAATCAAGGGAGCCTTATTGCCAAAAGAGTACAACATCCTTCTGTCACCAGATTTTGCAATAAAAAAGATGGTTATTTTATTTAGGTTTTATATTTATGGAAATGTGGTCACAAGGCATTTTTAAAGCATGAGATACTGGCCCCAGTTTACAAAAAAAAAAAAAAAAAAAAGCTTGCTGTTTTAGGGAAAGATAGTAGAGACACCCTGTGAGCAACAACCACAGGCTTAAGGCAATCTTGCCAGTTAAGACAGGGCTCAGGGTGATTTGGAATAGTATGTGGTTTCGAATATAAACTCAGCTCTTCCATCACACTATGTTCAGCAGAAAATTAGTTCCTTCAGAATGAAAAACGAACAAAAATTGATATCTTATACATCACCGCATACAAGTGGTCAACAGTCAGTAAGGAGAAAACAAGGCAAGAGTTCCAGGATTTTCCTCCTTCAGCATTTCCTCCAGTATGTTACCCCTTGGGTTCCCAAGTCACAACCAAAGCCATTCCGTTGTGTTGCCAAAGGGAACCGGCTCCTTCCGAAATGCTTTTAACAGCACTGCGTTTTATGATGATGAACCCTTTTCTGAAGCCTTCGTTCCCATTTACCGTTTTGTTCGTCCTTCCTGTCTGACATGCAAACACAGCCTCCATGCTTTCCATACAACCTAATTCAAAGCAACATATGTTAAACCCACACGGTATCATGTGAGCGTGCAATCCGCATCCACACCATTACCCCACAGAATGCGTTCAATGAGCTCCAACAGAGTTCTCTGCGTGCACATCGGACGAGCCTGCGATGTATGTGGGGCTCCTGCCTGACTCAGACCATCCAGAACTGTGCATGGAACCTGTTCCCTTTTAAGAACAGGGGGCTATTTAAATAGCCGCTAGGATAACTGGCCACAATGCAGGAGCCAGCCAGCTCGGTACCGCAGGCAGCACCGGACGCAGGCTCTGCCACAAAGCTCCAGGAGGCTGCCGCGCAAGGAGCTTGCAGTCATTTATCTCCTGCAGCCAAAACGCCCGGCACGTCCCCCTCCCTTATTTTACCTAACTAATAGCTCTCCAACCCCATATTGAGAGGGCCTGCTGTGGATCTTGCGGAGGTACAAAATGGTGGATGTGAGCTAATTTTTTCCTGCTTTCCCCCTAACTTAGCGCATCCATCACCGGCCGTCCTCCCACCTAAGCGCCCCCCCCCCCGCCTTCCCGGCAGCGGCGCACCGAGCACGCCCCGCGGACCCGGCCCGGGGGCAGAAACGCGGGTACCCACCTGATGTCATGTAGCCCCGCGAAGCCTGGGGCGCGAAGGCCGCGGGGAAGCGCTTGTGCAGGCGGTAGTCCTTCTCGCTCCGGGACCTCATGCGGTCCGAGGCCCGGTCCGAGAAATCCGAGCTAGGCCAGGCTCGCCGCAAGGTTGTGCTCCGGGTCTTCTTCATGGTGGGGAGCGCGACCTGCCACCCCGATCCTGGGGGCCTCAGCGCCGGGGCGCAGCGCGCTGCTTCATCCGTCTACGGCGGGCACGACCCGGGCGGACTCTGCGCACATTTTCCCAGCCCCTCCTCGTCGGCGTCTACACCGCCAGCCGCGGGTCCGGCCCTCCCCACGCCCCCACACACCCCCACGGTGAAGGCTCCGATTTTACACACGTCCCACAATGCATTACACTTCATTTGCAATCCGCCCGGCTTATAGCTTCCAGATTCCTGGGGGGAAAGGCACGTTAGCAGGCTCTCCGGCCAGGAGGAGGCGGGGAGGGGGCGGGCGGGGTGGGGGCGCCGAGACTTGCAGCGTGAAAGCAATGGGAGCGCACACAATGGCCCGATTCAGCGCAGGAGTGCTTAGCCAACTGTGAGCCACGGCACAAAAGATCCAAACAAATGAGGAAGCCGAGGCCTCCGGGGCTGACCCGGGCTCGGGCGCCCGGGAAGCCGGAGGGGCGGCGGCAGACCCTCCGCACCCGGCGGCTCAGAGCGAGGCGTGGGGTTGACAGCGTCCAAGTCGTGTCCCCCAGGGCCTTTCGGCCGCGCGGCCCGCAGTGGCGGGCGCAGGCTGGCTCTGCCTCTCCTGCAGTCCTCGGGAGGCAGTCTTCATTACAGAGGCTCGAATGGGGGGCGCGTGTGCACAGGGGTCCGAGCAGGCTCTGCAGACGGCAGCTGCGGCAGGCGGGCTCCTGCGGGATCCAGGAAGAGCCCGCGTCGTCCTCGCAACTGCGGCGCCTCGTCAATCTTCCTCCTTCCCAGGCTCAGGGTGGTGTGCGTGCGTGCGCGCGTGTGTGTGCGCGCGTGTGTGTGTGCGCGCGCGCGCGCTCGCGCGGCGCCACGCATGTGCCCCCCTACACAGGCATGCTCCTACTTACTGGCCGAGGGGGCGTCGGGAGCCATGGCTGCCGACGAGGCCGTGCCGGCCGATCCACACCCGCACGGTGGCACCGCTGCTCGGTCGCGAGCGCGCAGAACGGCGACTGGAGGGCAGGAAGCAGTTCAGCCGCCCCGGCTCATGCTAATCGCGGCGCTGCCTTAAGTTAGAGCACGGATCCTGACAGGCTTCTCTTTTTCATGCAAAACACCCTGCGGCGGCGCGGGGACCTTGGCTGGAGCCCCAGCCCGAAGTCGCCGCTTGGCTATTTACATATTTTTAGGATGCTCCCTCCCCCTCGCAGGGAGAGACAGAGCCCCCTCGGTGGGAACCGGGAGGTCGGCGGTGCCCCGTGTTGCCCACCTGCGCCAACCCCGAAGTCGGCGAGAGCCGGAGGAGGGGGCGCCCCCGGGGGCTCCTGCGACAGCCGCAAACGCCGGGCCGCCTGGTCCACGCCGCCTGGGAAACGCGGTGGTGGTGGCCTCCGGCTCTTCCTCTCTCGCCCTGGATCCCCCGTGTAAGTCACCAGCCGCCCGCTAACCTGCATTCAGGTCCTTTACACAGCGCGGCTCTGCACAGCGGCTTCGCGTCCAGCAACCAATCGCTAAAGGACAACAATGCGCGCGACGCGGGAGGGGAGGGGGCGCGGGGCCCGGGACGCCGAGGTCACGCCGAGTTAAAGGCGCGCGGTCACAATGCTGCGAACCCCGACGACGCTGTGCCGCGGCCCATACCCCCATCTGGGTTTCCAAAAATGCTCAGGCATTATAAACAACAAAAATAAACCTGATCATTCTTTCTCAGCATTGTATTTTATTTTACCTTTTTTTGCGCTTTTTAAAAAATTACTAACGATGCAACGCTCAAAATCTTTTTTTTTTTTTTATGCTGTAGTTTCGTAGCTACAGCTGCCAAGGTGCAGAGATAAGGATACGCGAAATCTTTTATGGGGCTATGATCTTATCAGGCTGATACCGCAAAAAAACAAAACCCAGAAAAACAGCAGGCTCTAAATGGTCAAGACTCAAGAGTTCTAGCGCAATTCGGTGCTATTCCGAGGCTTGAATTCTTTGCGGGGGGGGGAGGGGGGCGGGGGGAGAAGGGGGCCCAAGGTTCTTGAAGAACTATGCGGAGGAGGCGGGGTTTAAACCCCAAGCATTAGATAATCTAGAACTAGAGCTTCCATTCAGTATCTTAAGGCTACCCTCTGTAACCTGGGGCCAGCGGAACTAATTCATCTCTTGGGATGGTGGGGGGTAAACAAACAAGCAAACAAACAAAATCACTAAGTATCATACGGAACTTTTATTTACACTGATCAAAATTTAGTTCTATCTGTAAGACAATTAGCTAATAATGGTCAGTGACATTTTTTAAAAATTAGGAAAGGCTAGTCCCCGCAAGAGGCACATTTTGCTAAAATGTCTTCTTTACTGTAAGAGATCTTCTAAGAACAGAAAGACTACAGCTTTAGAAGCAATAGAAGACTAAATGTGCAAAGAACCATAGAGGTAATACAAATAATTGTATTAATGAATGCACGAGATATTGACATTTAGATATCTCAATCCAATTCAACATACAATTACTCAGTACCTCCCATGAGCCAAAAGTGGTGATATGAATGATTACAAGTTATGACTGAAGGCTAATGGTGATTGCTGTGGCAACTGTGGTATTTACTCGTTCAGCAAGGAATTATTGACTATCTAGAATGTGCCAGCACTGTGATGGGTGCTGGACAAACAGAACACCACACACGGCCCCACACAGTTTAAGGTCTCGGCAGTAAGCAAATAAATGCACAAAGTGTGCCACGTTCTACGAAGAAGAATAACCTCTATGAAAAAATGACAGTTCATCTGAGACCTATGGGATGAGGAGTCATCCAAGCAAAGAGTAGGGAAAATGGTGTTTCAGAAAGTGGGAACAGTACACGCAAAGGACCTGAGGTAGGAAAGAAGTGTAGCTTCTGTTGGAAGAAGTTAAAGAAGGCCAGTGTGGCTGGAAGTGGAGCATAAGAGAGAAAGGCATATGATGAGGTCATGGAGGAAGGCGAGAGCCAGATCATGCAAGGACTTGCATTAAGGGTTTTGTATTCTATCCCAAGTGCAGCGTGAACTGCTGAAGGGTTTTAAGCAAAGAAGCAACGATAGTTTTAGAATTTCTATATAGAAGGGGCTCAGCAGAGAGAATCTGTTTGAAGGGAGGGGTCAGCCAGGAATTTTCTGGAGAGCAAGCTTGAATTGCCCTTGACTTAGAACTAAGAAAATAGTCATTGTGTGTATGGGAAAAAAAAAAAAATGGGATGGGTTGATGGAGATGTGGGGAGGAGAGCTACGCTCAGTCACCTCTGAACGCTGGCCTTGCAGGGGAGTGGCATCTTCTAGGACACATAAACAGTATCCTGGGAGGCAAGGCCAAAGAGCCAGACACAGAAGAATTAGAATAGTTTGGGTTAGCTGAATGGAATCAGATAGTAAAGTAGGAGAGGTAGGGACAGTTATGTAATTTATCCATCCAAATCAGATGACAACATCAAAAAAGATTACAAATTTAAGGCTTGAATCTAGCAAACAGCATATTATGAAACCAATCTTGTCTGAGGAAAGTAGATGTGGAATCCCCTGTTATTGTAGTCACTGTTAAAATCTGGCTCAGTGTGTCCATCTGTTCAATGGAAACGTTCACTCTGGTCATATGCGACCTGTAGGTCCCCAGTCCCACTAGTTTCAAGTCTCTCAACCTACATGAGATGATCAGGTATCTGGGTTATGAACTGGGTTAGGAACATCACAGAAGCTCAGTTGCATAACCCAGGATTCAGTACTCCAAAGTTTAGAAATAAATGGATTAATGATAAAGCAAATCAAGTTTACAGTATTAGTATTTTTTAAATCAGGCTTAAGAATCATTTGTACACTTGGTATTTACGTATCAGATTAAAGACCATCAGATTATAGACACTAATTAGATACACATCTGGTTTATGATTCTAATTGAAATGTATAATTGATTTTAGACTATAATTTTAAGTTGAAAGGTGTAAGAATTCTGACTTTGAAATTCTCATTTAAAACTTCGGTTTATTAGGTTTTTAAGAGTTTAATGAACTTAAGAGTTATAAGAATATAAACTCCATGAAGGCAAGGGATTTTTCTGTTTTATTCATTGTTGCTCATTGTTCTGTTTTGTTCACTCTATCTCCAGTGGCTAGCAATGCCTGACATGTATTTGATGACTAATGAAGCCAGGGTGAGTACTCTGGAAAATGTGGTTTGAAGCCTTCCCAGTCAGATATACTAAGTGCTTTTTAAAAATTAAATATACCAAATTCATAAATGCAATTTAAGGTTTTAAGAGAATGTACTTAACTGTGTTTCTAAATGGAACTAATTGTTGAGTAAAGGGACTTTAGTCTTCAATTTGAATTAATCAAATGATTTTCAAAGTTCCCCCAAGAGTTACAGTTTTTATTTTATTTTATCTTCTTTTAAATTTACAAATAGAGCTAACGGAATCTAAAAGCTTAAGGACATTTTTATTTTTTTCAGTGTGTAACTCTAGGAAAAGAAAATTTGATTTTTTGAATTTGTACCTCTAGCATACTGAACATGAAAGACCTAAGTAGCTGTTAATGATCTTTGTTGTGCACAGAAGAGCCCCCCACCCCAGACATTAGAAAGCCCATACTGACTATAGACTGAATGTGGAATAGATCGGGGAGAAACCGAATCACTGGAGTAAAGGTTGATATGAGTGAGGAATAAACACAAACATAAACCTAAGTGGTAACAGCTCTAAGCCTTGACCCTGTAGCCTAGAAAAGATGAATTTTAATCCAGGGCCTCCTAAGCACACAGTACCCTGGGATGCAGGGATGCCCATGATAGGACACTAGCAATTTCCATTGGCATATCAGACTCCTCAAACTGGAATGTTCAAGAAGCATTCCATTGAAGCTGTAGCCAAAGTTGCCTGTGGCCTCATTTTTCTGCCCAAGTATGACTGGTATGGTAAGAGACCTAAAGTGTGCAGAAAGGATATAGTCATCCATGTATGTTATGTGATACATGCATGGAACTTCGTGATTAAAATATTTGTCAAATAAAAATCAGAATTTTTTAAATTTTTACTTTTATTATTTTTATTTATTTTATTTTATTTAGAGAGAGAAAGAGCAAGAGCGTGAGCGGGAAGGGCAGAAGGAGAGAGAGAATCTTAAGCAGGCTCCATGGCCAGCACAGAGCCCGACGTGGGGCTCAATCTCACAACCCTGAGATCATGACCTGAGCTGAAATCAAGAGTCAGATGCTTAACCAATTCAGCCACCCAGGTGCTCCTAAAAATCAGAATTCCGAGTCTGATAGTAATTTCTCTTTCTGCTTCTTCCGGAAACATGATTTACAGATGATATTAATAGGTTACTATGACTAATGAGCTGATTAGTCAAAAAAAAAAAAAAAGAGAGAGAGAGACGCACCTTGAAGTCAGGCAGTTGTGTGGCCGACGTTATAAAGCTAAAGGAATCTGGAAAAGAGCATGCCCCTGAAGGACTAGGCCTTTTTCAGAGGCTTGTGAGAGGGAAAATTGGGGGAATTTCTTATGGGACAATATCTACACTCCTACGTCCCTAGGTATATATGTTTGTGCATCCATAGGGCCTGGGATATGCTGGCCTCCAAAGACAGCTAATTAAGGTAGCTGACCAAGGCTTTATCCCCCAGGGCACTTTTGTCCACATTTTGTCTTCCTAACCCAGGTTCCAAACTGCTAGTTACAATTTTAACAGAAAGCTCCAGCACCCTACGGTCTTTCTTAGAAGATGTTAGACAGGTGGTGGCTGAAACACCCCAGGAAGTGATAAATCCATAGGATAAAACACATTTAAGAGAACTCCTATGAATAATGAGAACGTGTGTATGTGTGTGTGTGTGTGTATTTCCTTTCCATTGCTACCAAAATCTAAGTTGAATGTCTCTTATTCTCCACTTAGGTACATTGTCACTTGCCATTCACCCCTGACGGGGCCGTAATGAGTAATGGTTGTCAGTGAATGCCACCCTCAAAGACAGCAACGTCCAGGGATGGAGGGATTCACCAAGGAGAAGTAATTCAAGAGGGGCCTGAGTTTGGGAGGCCTGCCAATGGAGGGTGCTGGCACCATTGTGATGTGATGCACATCTCGACACCAGACTGATGGCAGGTAGAGTGACAGAGGGCCTGAGGCGCGGGGATGCCCAGGTAACAGGCAATCACATCTTTGTGGGGGGGCCTGGGAAAAGTTAGTCTTTGAGTTCCATTTGTTTTTTTCAATTGTGATGGTAATAATATGTCTCTTAAAATGTTGTAGCAAGGATTTGAGGTAAATATACCAATGTCCCGATTCACCGCTACCAAAGTAGAAAGCATCAGTAAAAGATAGCCTTTTTTACTATTATTATTATTATTATTATTATTATTATTTATTGAAAACTGAGGGAGGGAAGCATTTTAAAAACCTGAATCCTTTCTAGATCCTTTTGTTCACCTATGAATGCTGCTTTATAGCAAATTAACAAAACAGGTTACTTTGACTAATTCCGGGAGTGCGGGGGCGCCAGGGATGCTACCAGCGAGCACACTGACATGGTGGGTGCTGCTGAGTTGCAGAGCTGAAATACACAGCATCCACACACTGGGCTAGAAAAAAGGGAAGAAGAAAACAGCACCCAGCCCAGCTAGAACATACTCAGGAGCTAAGGCATTCACTGCCCTGCACACCTGGATTCAAATGA